TTGGCGAGTTGGTTGCCTTACGGTGGAGCCACAGAGGAAATCTTTGAGTATCTCTTAGTGTCTCTGTGGAGAATAATGTGTGTAAATTTTGTAGTATGATTTTGTGGCGTGTAGGTGAGTGAATTTCAATCTCTTTGTGTGGAATTAATTTTGTGGTGAGAACAGAAGAGAAAGGTGGTGGATGATGGTGGCAAGGGGAGAGAGTGAGGAAGAAGAAGGAATTGTTTTTGATTAAAAAAAAAAAAAGAAGCCTCACGCGCTCATAGTTAGTGCACCACATACACTTTGCCATGTTAACAATGTGTGTTTAATAGATACACTTAGGTTCAAGTTTAAGTATTCAATAGGAACAAATGTTAGTTTAAATGTCTAAATGAAAAAAAAAAGGACAAATTTGAGGGCCTACATATGTATTTGGCCAAAAAGAAAATCAACAATTGTTGTTAACCTCATAAAATCTCCTAATTAGGACTCCTACTATGTATATAAAAGAAAAAGAAAAAAGAACTAAAACTTTTTAAAGTATTTGAAAAACACTTCATTTTTTTTTTCAGTTTTTAAGAAAATGTGAAAAAGAAATTCTATTGGTTGATAGCTTCTTCCAGCATTAGCAAAGTGGAGGGACAAAACAATAACAAGCGCGTGTATGAACTTTGTAATGTAGAGAGTGGCTACTAAAATCTCAAGAGAAAACTCGAGGGCAATAATGTATAGAGAGAGTATCCAATGATTGTACAGATGCGCGTGTCGGATGGTATTGAGGCAATGTGACACGCACGAGCGCTCTAAGTGGGTCCCATGTTCCGCCACGTGAGCAAGCACCCCATGCCCCATCACGTGATCCTCCCTCTTTCTTGTCTTTTTCCCTCTTTTCAAAATCTTTTTAACTTTTTTGTTTTTGTTTTTGTTCTTTTTCCCCTTTTTATTTCTCTTTCATGGAGCTCATCCTTGGCTTTGGATTCTTCCAATTTGCTTGGCTCAAACTTTATAGCCCAAAGGTTGAAACTTTTTATCCTTTCGTTTTTTGCTTTTTTGCGTTTCTTTGTTTTACTTTCATTTTTTATCATCCTTTTCTTATTTTGGAAGTCAATGAGCAGAAAAAAATGTGGTGGGTCTAGCTTAAGTCCACCTTATTTTCTACATGATTACATAATAGTTTGTGATATTGGATTAGCTAGGTGATGGTTTAGATTATAACTTTACATCATAGTTGAACAGTTTATATGTGTAAGGTTAATTTCGTATATATTTAGTAGTATGGTTGTATTTATTCTTCAAATCTCCGTAATAGATAGTTAATTAGTTTTAAATTTAAATAAATAATACTTATATTCTAAAAAATAATTTTAAGAAATACTTAACTTTGTAAGTATTATATTAGTTTACCTAAGTGTCATTCTCCTAAGAGGGTGTGGCGTCATGTACTTGCACAATACTTATAACTTTCATATAATCAATAATTTGTCAAATAGAACACTTCAATGCACACTACAACCAAAAGGCACAAACTGTAACATCTTATTAAAAAGTAATTTAACGTTTGACCATAGATTTTCAAATTTGTTTTGAAAAATTTTATTTGGGTGAAGTTTGGTTTGAAGATAAAAATGTATTTGGATATCAGTTTTCAAAACATATTTACCAAATTTATTTTGGAAAAACATGAAACATGACTTATACCCACAAGTTCTAAAAACTATCATAAATACCTAACATTACCATTATCAATAACATTCATTATATTATCGCAAACCATAGTCCTGAATATAAATAAATTTGGTACAAAATTATCATTTTTATAATAAACTACATGATACACTATCAGATGACCGAGAAGACAAAGCAACATCATTACAAAATTATAAATGGTGGGCTCTTTTATGAAATACAAAAGTTTGGGACAATTTTTAAAAAATGTAATAGTAATATTTTGGCCCAAAACCAACTATTGAGTTGGTTTTGAAATTTGGGATTTTACCAAAATATAGGCAAAATCTATGGCCAAATATGTGTTTGCCAAATAAAATTCAAATTTATTTTGGCAAAATCTATGACTAAATGGGTCCTAAAAATAAGAAACATATCTAAATGAATCTTTTTTCACATATCGCTTATTCGATCACCCCATCGCTTATTCGATCACCCCATCCATACAGAAAAGGTATTCCAAAACTATTTCATACGCAGTTATCTGTCGACAACCTACTAGAATATAAAGAAAAGGCCTAAAATTTAATTACTATTCTAAAAATATTTTTGTATACTTTGCTAAATTATCAAAGGTAAGCCTCTCATTAAAAATTGCATGAGCCCTATTTAACTTGTACCGGTTTTATTTTTCCATTTGTATCCGTACTTGTCTTTTTGTTAAAAGTATTTTAAAAAACGATTTTGCCCTTCTTTAATAAAAGATTACTTTCTGTCCAAGTATATCGGTATATTGTCTCTTGTCTCTGTCTCTCCAACAAAATTATGTATAATCACATGTACGATTTTAATGGTTACTTTTGTACATTGCATTAACTGTGTATGAGATTTTAATTTAGGATTCGTTTTATGATTTAATTTCTGAATTTTTAGTTGATAGTAATCTTAGTTGAATCGTTTTTCTCTTTTTATTTGTGCTAAAATAAATTAAAGTTTCGGATAAAACTCATGACAAAACTGTAGACTGCAGGACAAATTTCAGCATGTTTTGGTATGAAATTTTAGCAAATGAACTAAATAACTTCAGCATGCATTAGCAAAAACTCATTAGAAAATTATATACTGCAAGACAAAAACTTAAGCATGTTTAGTCTGAAATTTTAGCAAATGAACTAAAAAACTTCAGCTTGTTTAGACTGAAGTTTCGGATAAAACTCATGACAAAACTGTAGAATGCAGGACAAAACTTCAGCATATTTTGGTATGAAACTTTAGCAAATGAACTAAATAAGTTCAACATGCATTAGCAAAAACTCATTAGAAAATTACATACCGCAGGACAAAAACTTAAGCATGTTTAGTCTGATATTTTAGCTAATAAACTAAAAAACTTCAGCATGTATAGACTGAAGTTTCGGATAAAACTCATGACAAAACTGTAGACTGCAGGACAAAATTTTAACATGTGTTGGTATGAAATTTTAGCAAATGAACTAAATAAATTCAGCATGCATTAGCATGAAATTTTAGCTTCAATCAGGGGCTGAGCTACAATAGTGGGTGCGGGTTCGGGCGAACCCAGTGACTTTTTTCGGAATCCTGTATTTGTATTGAAATATTTACTAAATTTATATAAATATATACTGCCTTACCCAGTAACAAAAGAGGTCTTAGTTCAATGGTAAGGATTGTGGGTTCGCTGGGAAAGATGGGGGTTCGATTCCCTCTGAAAGCAGTATTTTATTTTAAAATTTAAAACCCACACATATCAAATCCTAGCTTCGCATCTGGTTTCAATGTGAAACAACTTCATGCTATATTAACATGAAATTTTAGCTTCAACGTGAAACAACGTTTTTCTATATCCTTCACGCATTAAATTTGAAGTTTTGAAAAGTTTTTATATCCATCAAGTGTGATTCTGAAGATGAATCTGGTTCAAGTTTCTAGTTTTTTGATAAAGCTGCTGAGAGGAGAGGAGATCTTTTTTACGAATGAGGTTGCAGATCACGCGATTAATGCGTGATGCAAGTTTTATATCTTTTGTCAGGGGTATAATTGTCATATTATTGCGGAATTTTTGTCAGCTGACTACCAAATCAATAAATTTTAAAAATAAGGTACAAATTAAAATGTGACACAAATATAGGGTACGACTGCAACCCGCTATCCCAGTGAACATATAACCCAATGTTTTAAGTTCGTAGAATACGTGAAATTAAAGCTTAGATACAGTAAAGAATAATGTTAAAGTTTTTTCTTTAAAATTCTTTTGTGGAGTATTGGGTAAAATTCATTCATATTCCTGGACCTATTTGTTGACAATATTTTTTGTTGTCTGAATCACAGAAGTTAGCACATAAATGCAAGACTATAAGTGAAAAGAGAGTAATATATAGCTTTAAAGGTGAAACGGTAATTATTTGAATTTGGAACGAGTTAGCCAAGATCAAACAATGCCAAGTCCTTATATCCTTCCATTTGACACTGGTACTTCAGAAACTGTTAGTTGAAGTTGTAACTTACAATGTAATTGCAAACTCAATTAAAAGACAACAGTAATTAGTTTCATTACAAATATTACTTCTGTAACATACTACTCCTATCATTTAAAACAAGGGAAACTTGCGTTTCTTCCTCCCCCATATTATTCAAACCAAAACATTCTGTAACCTATTATTCAAACATATAATTATGAAAACTTATGACAACTCTTAATCAAATCAATAAGTACATATATCACTATTAATTACTTTCGCTGTTTCATAACATTGTAACAGTTTTGTTTCCGATAGTCAAACTAGGTCAATTTTGACTTACCATTTAAACATATCCTTTTGTAGTTGTGATACGATAGAGATAGCATGCAGTTATAACATTTTTCATGTACTCTTTAAATTTTGTAAAATAAATATAAAAATAAATCCATTTAATTTGAGATCAATGCAATTGAAATGGAGTTTTAGCACAATAATATAAGAGTTTCAGCTGTGTGATTACATAGGTACAAAATTCAGCGCGTGAGTAAAAAAGTAGTTTAGAAAAAGTCTTTCACGAGGGAGCACGCACGTTAGTCAACAGTCAACGTTGGGAAAAAGAGTAAAAAAGCCGCTTTTCAATGAGAAGTTACAATTCAGGGAAGAAAAAGCAACATTATTAACCACAGGCGGAATTGAAAGGTGGAGCACAGTACAGTCAGTAACTCTACCTTCGGTTACTTTTACACTCACAAGTCATTCACCATGGTTAAATTTCACTAAACCACGGTCTAAAAAAGCCCCATGCAAAATTTGCCAAATATAAATAGACAGAAAAACATCCAAAGAAACAACAAGGGAAAAGCCAAGCTAAAATCAAAGCCAATCTCTATCATCATCATTGAGCCAATAGCCACTGACATAAGTCATCATTGAACATCTATTTGCCTTCTTCTCTGTCTATTCACACATCTCTTTCTCTCTAAATCAGAAAGTATTTTTTTATTTTTATTTTTTGTGTTTACAAAAAATAAAAGGACACAACTATAAATATTTTTCTTGTTTGTATATATATTGTTCATTTCTGAATCTTCTGACCTATCCTATAAACTGTATTGCACTAGCCAAAGGAAAAAAGCTGTAACTCCTCTGCTACAAAAGAGAACCAGCCCATTTTTCTTCGTTCTGTCCCCCACCTCCTACCCAACACATTCATATCCCAGAGAAAGAAAACCCCCATTTACCTTTCTTTTGGTTTCCAAAGAGAAAGAAAAAGGAAACTTTATTGGTTATTCAGAGGAAAAAAAAGGAAGAGCAAAAAGATGGGCGGTGAGAAAGAAGATGGTTTAGGTTTGAGCCTCAGCTTAGGAATGAGTTGCCCTCAAAATAATCTCAAGAATAATGACTTCATTTCATCATCAACTCCTCCATTCCTCTTGCCCTTCTTGCATAATCATCAAATTTCTGCAGGTAAAAGTGACAAAAGATTACAACTTTTTGTTTTTTTTTTCTTTCATTTGGTCCGTGAAGGAGAGACTTACGGCAACGATATAAAGTTATTTGTGTGTGACCTATTAATCACGGGTCCAAACCGCATGGAATAATCAGTATATAGGCCGCTTACATCACAACACTTACGGTGCAACCTTTTCTCAAATCCTATGCTTCGTGTACCGAATCAACCATTTTTCTTTCATTTGGTCTTGGATGCATGCTCGAAGACGAATCACTTTTGAACTGGAGTGGTTCAACTTTTATACTGTCCTAAAATTTAGAATTAGTTGAAATTTTAGAAAATTGTCACACATTCAAACCCATCAGAATATTAGATTCAGTTGAACTCAATAAATATAGGCTTCATTCGGGCCAACCAAATGGGTTTTTTTTAGCACGTTTGATTTATGTAAATGTTTTTTGGCAGAGAGAAATGAAGAAGCAAAAGAATCTATAAGAGGGGAAATAGATATGAATCAACCAGCGAGAATGATAGAGTCATGTGATGAGGAATTAGAAGATGAAGGTTTGATAATGGTTTCATCACCTAATAACAGCACAGTTTCGAGTGTGAGTGGGAAGAGGAGTCATGACAGAGAAGATAACGAAGGGGAGAGGCCCACCAGCTCCCTGGAGGATGACGGCGGCGACGCGGCGGCGAGGAAGAAACTCCGGCTGTCCAAGGAGCAAGCAGCCCTTCTTGAAGAGACATTCAAGGAGCATAACACTCTTAATCCAGTAAGTGGCAGTTGTAAATATTTTATGCTTAAAGGGTAATTTCGGAATAAAGATTTATTAAAAAAAAGTTTGTTTAAACGTGTTTAGTAGTTGTAATTGGCTTTGGGGGTGAGAATATGTCAATCTACTTCTCCCCAAAAAAATAATCCGATAGTATTATAAAAAATTTGGGAAAAACTATAAGCATCTATGTTTCTCAAAGAATCTGATTTTTTAAATGCTAAGGTGATGAATTATTATTTTTTCTTTAGAAGCAAAAATTGGCACTGTCGAAACAGCTGAATCTCAGGCCAAGACAAGTGGAGGTGTGGTTTCAGAACAGAAGGGCAAGGTATGTTATTTGCTTACTGATTCAAGGGTATTTTTGGCATTGAAATAATATTTCACGTTTGTAGCATGATCTCCGATAATTACTTGAGCACGTGTAGTGTTCCATTATAAGATTTTGATTATGATAATCTAAGTAAAGCCCTCTCGGGTTACACACGTGTGCATGGATTATACTTCTTACCCTTGAATTTAAAACGGTCAAACAATTTATTCTACAATAATTACAAAAACAGATTTGTCCTATTTCATTTTAATTTATAAGGTTTTTTTGCACTGAACTTATTATACTTAGTTAAGAATTTCATACTGGTTGATAAATTTAGTTTTGTTAATGTATATATGTTTCGCGTTAAATTACGGTTCATGACTGTGATTGTGCCTTGCTTGAGCCAAAGATCTATCTTGGTAAGGTAGGGGTAAGGTTGCATACACACTATCCTTCCTAGACCCTCACTTGTTGGATTACATTGGGGTTGTTTTTGTTGTTCAAATAGCGGTTCATTTGCTTTTGATTTTGGTTCATTCGACCCCACTTGTCGGATTATACTGCTGTCAATTATTTGAACATAATTTTCTATGACGACTAATACTTAATTTAGAAGGACTAAGTAATGGCTTGAATAATGCAGGACCAAGTTGAAGCAAACAGAGGTTGATTGTGAGTACTTGAGGCGTTGCTGTGAGAATCTGACAGAGGAAAACAGACGATTGCAGAAGGAAGTTACTGAGCTTAGAGCATTGAAGCTTTCTCCACAAATGTACATGAACATGACTCCTCCCACCACCCTTACCATGTGCCCTCAGTGCGAGCGTGTGGCCGTATCGTCTTCTTCCTCCTCTGCCGCCTCTTCTTCAGTCACCGGTGCAGGTGTCTCTCGCTCGAACCACCCTGTAGGCGCCCTTCACCAACCGCCAGTGCCCCTCAACAAACCATGGGCTGCAATTTTCTCCCCTAAAACACTCGACGTGCAACGAACACAACTGTAGTTTACTCTTGTTGTGAGGGTGAAAAGGTCATTTTAGACACAATGGGAAGAGTATAAACTCTACTTGGAGCCAAACAGATAGACAACGGGTAGTGAAAAGTGGTCCAGATAAAGGTAGGGAGAAATCAGAAAGTGTTTATAGAGTAGGATGAATGAGATGATTACAAGAGAATCTTTAGTTCTTTTATTCTTGTTGGGGTTCTCTTTAGTAGATGAATGATTAATGCTCCAAAAGCGGGATGTAATGTTGGGTCAAGAGCAACAATTGTTGAATTTGTTCATTTCATTTGTGTAGGGAAATGGTTACTTAAATGGGACGACATATATAATTGTGCTCACTAACCACCTTTATACATCCCTATTGGGCACTTGTGGACATGATTGCTATAGTATTATCCATAAACCTTGTGCCTCTTAAAAGTATTTGACTAGCTAGGCTTCCCCATAAGGTCACAAAGTCGATTACATTAACCAATCCCCTCTGTGTCTGTTTATTTTACTTTTTATTTTTTCACAACAGTGATATCTGGATCATCTTGCACGTACCTTTCATTAGCAATAACTCTATCTATTAAGGGTTGAGCAAATATGAAAAAAATAATAATTCCATCTCATTATTTTCATTCATAGATAGCTAGGCCACACCATTAGATGCAAGCGATCCCGAGGTATCACAAAATGCACCGCATGCCCTAGAATGTATTAAGTTGCAATCTTTTGGTTTGGGTTGGGGGATGGGGGCTTGAGATGATCTCAAACAACAGCAAAGTTGTACAAAAAAACTTTCGATACAGTTTATAGAACTCTTGGAAGCAACATCTCCTTGACTTGATACTGTCACATAAACTACATCCACCAACAGTAGAAAAGGAATGGCAGAAAGCTCAAATAGCCTTGGAACAGTTCTTATGTTATATATCTAGAAGAATACAGATTTAAAGAGAGGAAACAACCCTTTGAAAACAAGCTGAACTTAATCTTAGCTTCAATTAAACATGCAAAGACATATACCAGTGCAATTTCAAAGTAAACATTCATTTGTATTGATGAAAATCTTTTTTGTTCATAAAGTTTAGCATTGTGTTCATTCAGCTTTGATAAACAGATATTAGTCACACAGTATTCACAGTGTCAGCAAGACAACGCAGTATGCAACCCAAACCAGCTTTTTCTGTAAGTTTTTCATGAATCCTTAGGCATTGGTCACATGTTGGGCGGTCTCCAGTAGACAAACCTCTGTACAAGTACCTGCACATCAGATAAGAAGGTTTGACTGTGAATCTTGTAACCCAACTTCAGAAATATGCCACATTACTTGTGCAACATGTAGATCTATGGATTTATTTTCCTTTTTAAATATTCATAAATGGCAAGGCAAATTCATATTCATTTCTTCTCTGTGTCTCAAGTATGTATACATCATACAAGTTCATGTTCAACTACAGAGTGTGTGAAGCAGAGTCTAGATGGTCCAATATCAGAAAAAGAAAGAATGTCTCCTTCCATTTCCCCTCATCCTATAACTTCAACTTGACTTGTTCTGCTATTCCTAGAGTTCAAATTAGTTATGCTGGGGTCACTGGAATGGTCCATTAAAGCAAATGAAAGCTGTCAAAAAGAGTTCATTCAACAAGGAAATGTCACCTTGCGTCACATAATTCCTTCATCTTCTTTACACTAACGAAGATATAAACAGATTTAGGACTAAACTTTAACCAGAACCATAAGAAATCAAATCAGCAGCAAATTATTTAAAGCTGGCATCTTGTTGGCAAAGGTAGAATATTGGTATATCCACATTTGCTGCAACTAAACTAATTAATGCTAATCAGCATACAACCATAACTGTACAGGTAAGAAAGATCTTCTCTTTATCCCTCCCCTTAATTGAACTAGCTACTAGACTAAATGAGACATTATGTGAAACACTTATCAAGGTAGTCTGAGAAGGAGATAAAGGAAAAGGACTTGACATAAAAATTTATATATACAAGGCATTCCATTTTCTTCAATTTCACCTAAGCTTTTGTTTTGATTTCAGAAATCATTGTATCTGTCCCGAATTTCTCCCGTTAATTTTGGTAAAAGTATCCAAAATCGGTTGACCAGATCCGGATCACACACTCATACCCATGTTGTGTCGACACGGGTGCGGCACCGAAAATGAAGAGTCTGAGCAACTTAGATACCACCTAAGTCGTAATGCCTTATTACAAATTATGATTATGCAATCAACTTTTTTATGTAATCAATTTATATTTCTTTTTGTATCATTTTTAATTCTTACGATTATTCATTAATTTAGGTTATATAAAATATAGTATACTTCAAAATTATAATATCCTTCCAACTTGTGTCATGTTCCGTTATTTTCAAAATTTGTGTCTTCATGTAAGACATGACTCTCATGTCTGTTGTTTCTGTGCTACTTGTGTCGGACCAGTGGGGAGCATAAATACAAGTCTCCATATTTGGAAGGCAACTCCATCATGGCCTTATATTTCAAAAGAAAACAAAAAATACTCTTAGGTATCAATATGTCTAGCTTTTGTCGTTTTTCAAAAGTCAACTATATTCCCTTCTAAAAAAAGTCAACTATAATAAACGTAGAGAAAAATAAAAAAAAATATAATGGAGAGGATTTCAATATACTGCATATTGTGCATATATTGCTATCAGTGATTGAAAATTTATAATAGATGTTAAGCGGGTGGAAGAGAAAATATTTGTCTAAAGGAGAAGAGAACGCTATTGAAATCTACTTTGCCTAGCTCGAAACAAGGGATAAAAGAAGGTTTTATGGGAGAAAAAGGAGAGGGAGTAGATATATCATTGATGAAATGGGAGAAAACAAAAGTCCCCACAAGGGAGGAATAAGGAGATTAGATGTATAAATATGGCCTTCTTTGGAAAATTGGATATGGGGTTTGCATATATGGTGATGCTTTACAGAAAAAAGCGATAGTGGCTAAATACAGAACATTTAGAAATGGATGATAGTCGAATGAAGTAACTGAGTAAACACTATGAAAAGGGATTATGAAGGGGAAAGATGAGTTCACAGGGTTCACTGGCTTTATTTGTTGGGAACTGTAACTGGAAACAATTTGGTTGGATATATGATGTGGAAACTGAAATTAAACTTGAAGCTTGCTTATCAAGAGTCTATGTGATTACTCATGATATGATGGCAATTATCACTGAAATCATCACAATAAGAACTAAGAGTTCATCTTGGAAAATTTCCATTGAGAAGACCTGTTCAGATAGGGAATGGAAAGAAGTAGAGAAGTTCATATAAATCTACAGTTTCTGTGGCAGAAAGTGGTGAGGATATACTAACGAAGTTGAAAGGAGCGTTGCTCGTACGTTTTTAAAGAGCTTCTATAATGTGGGTCTTACCAAGGAGGAGAAAAGAAAACACGGTGAAAGGAGATAAGGAATACACAAACACCAAAAAAAAATCACTTTCTTCACATGCTGCATAGTGGGATGCAATTCTTTCTGACAGAAAATCCAATAAAGAGGAAATAGATTGTTCTAAGTTGGTGTTTCATGTGCAAGGTATTGTTATACTGCAGGATGGCCTCAAAGCTTTGGGCGGAGGTGTTTTTTTACACCAGAAGACAACTATAAAGGCATGGCAAGTTGGAGGGAAAGGGATCTTCGGAAGAGTTGAAAACATGCCCCACTTTGCCTTTTCAAGACTACATGGAATGAAAGAAGTAGTAGTAGCCCTTTCAAAATTCAAAGCAGTAACAAGAGCTTAAGGAATCTGAAGAGCTTCTGTTGTTTCATTTATATATTTGGTGTAAAGAAAGAATATACTCTGTATACTAAATTAGGTAGTTAGATAGGTGCCAAAAGTAGCCTACATAACCACATTGTACATATATTTTGAGCACCATCTCGATGAATTAATAAAAACGATATCTGATTATAAGAAAAACTCAAACTTGTAGCATTTTTACAGTGCTATCTTAATTTATAAATAACATTTCAAATTATTGTACACATTTAGTTCCATTACAAACTGATCAAATTAAAACATTTGGAAGTGAAACAGGGCCAAATACAATGGGGGCAGGAAAATATTGGGTAATATTTGTAAATGGGCCCGGATAAGCATACCAACCCAAGTTATTCGCAATGAAATTCAGACTCTTCATGCCAGATGATTCCCTCAACTTTAGAGTTTACATATGTAGTTCCATATCAGTTTCCAGAACTAAATTTGCACCCAATCAAGAAACTAGCAAGTATTAGAGCAGTTCCCTGGTTGCCGGTAAGTGGTAACAGAAAACCAAATGAAAAAGGCAATCTCACCTACCTATATGGTGAATTCATTTAAAAAAACATTTCTTTTAAACTGTAATATCTTGTATTCATGGAGATATAAGACCAACACCAAACTTAAACTAGTAGCTGCACTTTAAAAACCTAAATTGAGGTCATAAAAACTTGCATATTGTTGATCAAATTTGATGAAACATATTGTTGGCAATTACCAAAATGTCCAACTATAGTTCTTTGGAAATCTCTAACAAAGTTTCTCAAGTTCAATAGATTTCATGACACATCTCAAATCCAAACCTAAAGTAAAATGAACATAAAATATTTAGTGCAGTGTATAAGAGTGTACAATTTCAAACTATGCCATTTTCAGGTTGTGATACTCGATGTAAGAGCTATAAAAGACTGTTCCACCAATTATTCCACCTAATCTTTTTTTCTTTTTTGAACATGGTAAATCTCACCCCCAAACGGCCGCAACCTAGGAGTCCAACAGTGGCCTTTTCCATTTTTTTCCCATTGGTGACTCGAACCCCGACCTCAAAATTGGAGGTGGAAGAATCTTATCACTAGGCTAGTCTGCCCAGGTCTATTTCCGCTTAAACATAATTATAACACTAGACTGGTCCTTAGTAGCAACATAAGGTAGAGAAATATGTGTCTCATTCAATCGCAGAGGAAATACGTTGTGTTTTTCACTTTCTTCTTGACCTTTACAATTAGTTGCCTATGCATGTAATTGCACAAATCTATTTAAAATGCTTTGCAACACCAATAGCTCAATATACAATGATAGAGATAGAGTACTCATAGTAATAACAATTCTCTGTGGACATGAATCACATCTATTATTATATATTGGCAACATAATCTTCAAATCCTATGTAGGCCAAAAATACAAATAACAAGTAGGAATAAGAAATAAACTTACTTCATGAGAATATCATAGTACTCAGGATCCAAAGCAGAGAACAAGCTATCAACATCTTTGATAGCCATTATAGCCCTATGCACCACTATCCAATTAGCAGACTGCAAATTCCCA